GTCACCTGCTGCCCTGCCGAGGGACAGGGACTCCTTACTCAGCCCCACCCGAGGGCACTGCAGGCAGGTGGACTCGGATGCCTAAACAGTGAACATCCTGGGCTGGGGAGGAGGTGACGCAGGTGGCAGGTGTGTGCCCCGCTGGTGGCTAGCCAGGGGATGTTACCCTGTGGGCTGACTGTGGGAGACATTGCTGAGTCTTTCTTTCTGGTTGTTCCTCCTAGAGGCACCCGGCAGTAGGTGTGAGGTGATTTAGGCTGTCTCCCACCGTAGCGTGGCTCCCTGGCATCTGATGATGAGTTTGACCCCCTCCAGGGGATGCCTCCTGGACCTGCCCTGGGAGGACATCTTGGTTCCACATATCCTCTGTCATCTGCCACTGCAGCAGCTCCTGAGCCTGCAGAGGGTCAGCAAGTCGTTCCAGGCTCTCATCCAGCTGTACCTGGCCAACATGCGCTGCTTTGACTCAAGTCAGGTATTGATGGTTCTGAGGCTGGGGGAGACACAGATGTCCTACTGCTCTGGAGATAACAGGGGAGCAGCTGACTGTGTGGGGAGAAGAAAACCCTGGCAAGGAGGCTGGTTTCTGCTCAGGAGCTGGGGTTAATGGCTCAGGTGTCCAACTGGACAGATGGGAAGAGAGGTGGTGATTCAGGTCCCAGTAATGGCAGTGTCTTTAGCAAGAGGCCTTGGGAGGAGTGAGCCTGGAAGATCCACCCAGGCCAATATGGGGCACTGGCTGGCAGCAACAAGCCAGCTCCAGATGGCCTGTTGTGTCCTCTGTCCTCATGGAGTGCAATAGACTGGGTCTGACAGGAGATAACTCTGTGCCTGGTCTTCAGGGAAAGCTTGTGCTGGCCCTGGGAGACACTGCCTGGGACTTGGAAAGACAGGAGTGGCTGCTGCTCTGTGAGGACACACAGTGGTCTAGCAAAGAGCTTTTGGAAAACAGAGGTGTGGAGCTCACCACAAGTGTATAAATGCAGGGGTGATGATGGGGGATGGAGAAGCCAGAGCATCTTCTAGATTGTGGCAGTAGCCTTGGCATGAGGGGAGAAAAGCCTGATGGCAGGGTTTCCCCTGGGAGAGGGAGTGGCTTTGGTCAGCACTGTCACAGTGGAAGAGAGGGGAGGAGAGAGTATTTGGTGAGGATCAGGCTGTTCTGAAACCCTGGGAGATGCCTCATTCTTCTGGGTTCCCCATGCAGATTGGACCTGCCATCCCTCGAGCTGCTTTTGTGAACCTGCTGAAGGACAACGAAGTACTGCAGCAGCTGGCACTCCAGAACTGCTCCGACTGGCTCACAGACAGGGAGCTGCTCCCGGTCATTGGGCAGAACCATCACCTGCACCAGATCCAGCTGAAGGGCTGTGCCCAGCTCAGCCGCCACGCGCTGGTGGCCATCTCGCTGAGCTGCCCCAACCTGCGCCAGCTAACTGCGAGTGGGTGGACAGCCTGTCCCTGCGCAGCCTGGCTGACCACTGCAAGGCGCTGGAGGCTGTGGACCTGACAGCCTGTCGCCAGCTGAAGGATGAGGCCATCTGCTACCTGGTGCAGAAGTGCAGCAGGCTCAAGTCTCTGTCACTGGCTGTCAATGCCAACGTGGGCGACGTGGCAGTTGAGGAGACTGCCAAGTGCTGCCCTGAGCTGGAGCACCTGGACCTCACGGGGTGTCTGCGAGTCAAGAATGACTCTATCAGGTATTGAGCAACATGAGGAGCTGGGGTGGGGATAGCAGGTGTCTGGGGTGGGAGAGGAAGAGAACCAGAGAGATAAGTCAGATTTCTTTATGCTGAAAGCAATGAGAGCATGTTCTGGGAGAGAAGCCATTAGCAGGCCCTTCAGGAGAGGCATTGTGTGCTACTAACAGCAAATTTCCCAGCATGTCATGGAGGATAGGTCTGGGATCAGACCATGATCCTTGTGTTTCTCTCGGACCATCACGGTGCTGCTCCCAAAGGATGGCCATGTGTGGCACAGCCGTGAGTGCTGGGCTGCAGGGAGTAGAGAAGAGGGTGAGTGGTGCACTCAAGCATCCTGGCTTGCAACCTGCATGTGCTCTCTGTCTTGGCAGGGTCCTGGCTGAGTACTGTCCCAAGTTGCGCTCGCTGAAGGTGAAGCATTGCCACAATGTGGCTGAGTCCAGCCTGAGCATTCTCCGAAGCCGTGGGGTGGAGCTGGATGTGGAGCCTCCGCTGCAGAGGGCTCTCGTTCTCCTCCAGGACGTGGTTGGCTTCGCCCCTTTCATCAACCTCCAGATCTAGAACTGCTGCTGCTGGGGAGGGGGATATTGATGCAATGCTGGTATACCAAGATGATGCTGGAACTGGCTGCTGTGGAGACATGCAGAGGGAGAGATTGGTCCCGTTGGTGAGGCTGACCTGAGTGGGGCTCATTCTTTCCTCTGGGGCTGTTTAGCAGCCACTGGGTGTTTGTGGGTGGGCTTCATTGGTGCCTCCAGGGAAAGTAACTCCCTCTGCAGTGGCGTGGAGAGAGCGAGTGACTTGCAGGAACACCATGGTGCTGAACAGGCCTTGGCCAGGCCAGCTAATAGATAGGATTTATTATTTGTTGTATTTTAAATCTCTAAGCGGCAGCTGTCCAGAGAGCAGGAGAGTGTTTGATGGGGACTGTCCCCTGGGGTGGGTGTGCAGGGTGTGCCAGCAGAGCTGTGGAATAAACCAGGCTGGCTGGAGCAGAAAGGAGAAAAGCTGCCAGCCCTCCTCTTGGGAGAGGGCAGGCCCCTCTGGGGTCCAGGAGGAGGGCAGAGCAAGCCCAGCTCCAGCCCACAGCTGCTGTCCAACGTGGCACCAAAGGGCTAGCATGGCCCCAGCACAGGCAGTGCGTCTGTCCAGGCCTAGGGCGCTGGGTTAGGCAGGTGCAAAGTGGGAGCTGTTTTCAGGGGGAACATGCTCCTGACTGCAGTTTCACTGGGAGAAAAACACCAAACTTAGCTGTGCTGTCGCTGAAAGCACTTGGTCATTGCCATGTGTTTCTTCCAGCTTCTGACTTACATTTCAGTAGCACCCAGTTCTCCTACTCTGTCCTCATAGTCGTGTGGCTGGAGCTTTGGCACTCAACAGTGGTGAGAAATGGCAGGAACCCTGGCCGTGCTGCAGGTTGTGTTGGCAGGGAGAGCCTAGCTCTGGTCTGGACTTCAGCCTCAGCCCTTGTATCCACTAGGTGGTCAACCAAACAGCAGCTACATCTTGTGGTGAATGTGATGAAGAGAGTAATTAGGGGAAGAGATGATGACCCTGCTCCTATCTTTGGCCCCAGGAGGGATTGGAGGTGATGTTTGTAAAGCACGTGCATGCTCCGGCTGAACTACACACCAACTCACATCATCTTTATTAACACTGGCACTCAATTCAAAGCAACAGCGCACACAGACTTGTAAAAAGCTTGCTGCAAAAGCACAAGCCACATCTTGGATCTAAAAATGTCCCATGCAAGGAATAGTAGAGAGTGCCCAGGCCCTGGAGAGCCACTGTGGTGTGCTCTTGGGGGCTAAGGGACAGCTACACAAGAAGTCTCCTTGTCACCTGGGTTAGTTGAAGAAGCTGAAAACAATGTCTTGGCTCCCAGGTGAGTTCCAGTTAGTGGCAGGTGGAAGAGCTCCCTCTTCGCTAGTGCCATGTGTCCATCCTGCCATGCCTGGCCAGTGAGGTGGAGGCTTGAGAGCAGGAGGCTGTCAGTGGAACTTGTACTTCCTGGCTGGTTTGAGGCTGATGTAGGTTCTCTTCATCTCCTCGCTCTCAGGCTTCTTGATGTCTTTGTACCTCTCTCCCTTTGTACTCACCACCTGGTTATCAATATAGCGGATCAACTTCTTGGGAGCCTGGAGAAGACAGACATTAATACCAAGTGGATGGACAGCCACATTGTCAGGGAAGGGGAGAGGACAAGCAGAAGCAGAGCTGTGCTCTGGGAGGCGGGTGCAGGAAGACTGGGGTGTGCTGCTTTACTCAGCCTTTGTGTTGGGAACCTTGGCCAAAACTGGGCAGGAAACTGTCTGATGGGGGGAGCAGGAGTCATGCTAGTCAGGAATGGTAGGAACGGACAAACCCTGCAGCACCTTCTTCCCTCTTTGCTGACTAGTGAATGCTCTGGGCTCTGTGAATGCTTCCGACTTTGACCTGCCCTGTTGCTTTTTGGACTTGCAGCCCAATTTTTAAACCTTGTAGCCAAAGGACATTCAAACTGCGGGGGAGCTGGAACTGCTCTTCTTACCTCTTTGGGTGGAGCTGGCCGATGTGTTTTCTGATCATCTGCACTATCCACCATCATGTATCTGAAACAAGCAGCATTTAGTGAACACCATTAACATGCATTGCCTGGGACTATTCACAGCCTATGTCCCTTCTCCCTTGGCTGGTTTGTGTCTGTGCAAGGTGTCCTACTTGCCTAGATTGCAGCTAGGAGCACTTAATGTTCCCCTCTCGATGAAGTGGGCAAGAAGTGTGTCATCCTTCTGGCGAGAATCCATCAGGATTCTCCTGGAGTAGCATCCTTGGCCATATGTGAAGGGTATTGAAAACTCAGGCTGTTGAGAATGCTGATAGCCCCTGCAGAACTGCAAGGTGCTGAGGTCAGGGGTGCTCTGCCATTGGGGCAGCTTTGCTCCTTCTCAGCCCAAGTGATGGCAGCCAAAGGAGACAGGTGAGATTACACAACCAAGCTGGCTGCTTCGATCCCGAAGAGATGGTGTTCCTTTCATGCTCCACCTACTACTTGACTAGAGAACAGGTTTGTGCTGGAAGCAACCGCATAAACGCATCACCTCATTCCCTATGTGACTGAAACATTGGGGTCCAAGCATTTGCTTGCTGTACTGCTGAGTTACTACTGTTGAGACTTTGGTGCTGGTTTAGCAGGCAGACAGCACAGCTGACCATGACTTCTCCCTCAGTAGTTAGTATAGTTGCTCCTGTGTATCTTCAGCTATGGTGATCTGCTCTCTCTACCTGTGCTTGAGTGATGTTTAAAGTACAGGATGTTGCCAAAATGTCATTAAAGTGAAGTTCCCAGAAACATAACTAGCACCTGGTGCTTTTTTGTTCCCTTGCATGTCACTCTGGAACAAGGCTGCACAGGAGACAGGCAAGGACAGAGATTGCTTATTCTGCCTGGATGCCATTCTGCCTTGCTTTATCTTCCCTAGCCCACTGACTGTTTATTCTGTTGCTGGGGAGGATGTAAAGTGGTGGAAAAGGCATGGCTAGACAGACACGTGGAATCTGCATGCCCACAAGAGGATACTCATGAAAGCTGAGATCTTAAAGTGGATCAATGAAACCACAGTGTGGGTTCTCCAACTGAGAATTAAATGCTTTTGGAAATGAATAAAGGTAAATGAATCTAAAGCCACTTTCATTCCCAAGAAGTCCACAGGGGGACTTCAGAGAGGTTTCTTTAAATGCATTGAATTCACACCTTCAGCAACTGAGATTTAATCTTCTCAATGTTGCTGTACAGGCATTCTCTTAGATATCTTTAGCCTTGTTTGGACTGTCTCCAAGGATGGAGGTATGAATGAGTTGCTGTAGTTCTACAAGTCAACAGGTGTTACCTGATCTGCAGCATGATGTTTGTGCCTTGAACCTTTAACTGGGATCTCAGCTGACAGTACTGTGATTTACACTGTACCTGTAGGAGGCTGAAACCTCACACAGAGCCTGGGCTGTGACCCAGCTGGTGCAGGTAACCTGCTTCTGTGCCAGAGCTCTGAAGGAAACTCAAACCTGTTTTTTTCCCCAACTGATGATTGTGTTTGTGCTTAGATGTGTTCAGCTACACTCAAATCAGCTTCACAGCATCCTTTCTAAGCATCGTACGCCCCAAGTTTTTTATAGACCATGTTGTAATTCTGACCTTCCCCAAACTGCCACCTTCTCCTCTATTGCGAGCAGAATAAGGGCTTTTTTTGCTGCTGGGTACTTACTTCTGTAGGATAACCTGTTTTAGTTCCTCGTGGTTGGGTGCTCTGCGGGGCCGTGCCAGTTCCTGGGAGGAGACAAGGCAGATGCGTGAGCAGCACAACACGTGGCGTGTACAGATTCCCCCTGCCAGCTCAGCAAGCCCAACTGCTGGTGGAGCGCTCCAGCTCCTGCGGGAAGCGGGGTGCCAGCCACAGCTCTGCTGGGGTGCTGGCTCAGCTGTGGGCACAGCCTGTACTCAAGAGGGCTAAGGGAGGGAGAGGGTTGGTGCTCTGGGTGATTCCCCTGGCTCATTGCATGGAAAGTTCCTACAGTCAAAGCTTCTCCTCGCAGCAGGCATCTGGGACACCTGTGTGTCCCTGAGCTCTGCCCTGCTCCTTGGCCTGCTGCCACCCAGCTCAGAGTACAGTACCTTCACATTCGCATCTGCTGGGCCAATTTCCACCTTCTCTTCCACAATCAACTGCACTGCCTCCTCCAAGTTCCCCAAGGCCATGGCGAGTGCCTTCTCTGCCTGGTTCATGGTACAGGCTGGGAACATCTCCAGTAGCAGCTCCACCTCATCCTTCAAGTCATCACCTTCCTAGTTGGAGCAAGACAGAGGTAACTTGGGGATGTAGTAAGGAGCAGGCTATTGAAAAGGGCCTCTCTGGTTTTGCACTGTCAGGAAATTCATCTTACCCTTAGCTGAAGGTTCACTCTCCTTCCAAATGTGACTAAATCCCATTCCCAAAGCTAACAGGGGATTGTATCTTTGTAAGGACAAAGCATTACTCTTCCTTAATCTCCTCCCCCTGTATTTCAGCTTTCTCTAAAGTAGGGCTGCTGGGTAACCTAGCTCATCTGCTATGTGTCTCCTTAGGAGCTTTCTGGTTATTGTGGTGTGAATGCTCGAACTCCCCCTCACCTTGTGAAGTTCTATGTGCTTTGGTGAGTAAGGGAAGGGACTGCTGAACAGTGACCTGTGGCTACACCAGAAGGAACTGCAGCAGCAGCAGTTGCTAGAAGGCTGTGGACACAGAACAATTGCACTGCAGAGCAGGAAGAGATCAGTACTGGAGAAACAGCAAGCAAAGCATGGGGGAAGGAGGTGGGGGAGATCTGCCATGTGCTGCAATGCCTCTTGCATGGGTCATGTTGAATGGTGCTGCAGGATCAGGACCGCTGAGCCAATGACTCAGTGCTGTATTGCTCAGTAAGCACACGGCACAGAAGGTCATTGAGAGCGGGACCAGAGTCTTTGGGACTGACACAGAGACGTGACTGCTTCCTGTGCAGGTACTTCATGATAGCTGGGGAGAGAAATGGTGATCCAGCTCAAACTGTGGAGTGAGGCTATGGAAACAGGGTGAAGCAGGGTGGAGCCTGGCTAGTGCTGCAGAGGAGTCCCCACAGTGCTGCTG